TATAGGTATATTTTTTGCAAACATACATATTGACATACATACATGCATATATATTATATATATATATATATATTTATATATATATAAATATATATTTATATATATATATATAATATTAAAAATCAAGTATCATTTGTCCAACGAAAAGAGGCGTACCTTTTTGAATCCAAGAAGTTCCACTTCGAAAGTCTTGTCCTCCCCAGTGACCGTCTCGGTCTCGGCATCCTGATACTTGCTGTGAAGAAAACGGGTACATTGGTTAGAGATGCAAGAATTAAATATATATATTTATATATATATATATATATACATCGATATATGTGTATACATACATGCCCACACACGCGACGTGACTCACCTCTTCACAAATACCTTCGCGATCTCTTCCAAGCACATGGCCTCAATGGCATCCTCCACCGCAGTCGGTAGTACGCCCTCGTGCAGCATGAACCATTGCTTCTCCACCCACATAGCATTGGCATCCTGCGTTGTCTCTCTGAACTTAACGTGCACATTGGCATAGTCTCCGGGTGTATCGAAGCCGCCGTCGCTCTCCCTGATGGTATGCTTCACGACACTACCTACTCGCACGCGTGTGGTGTGTGTGTGTGTGCTGTGAGTAAGAGCTTGCGATTTGTTGCTTGCAAGGAGGTGTACATGTGGTGTAATGGTTGTGTCTGGAAGTACACACGTTTAGTTCTTACAAGCATATACATGCTCTAACCCGTGTAAGGTGTCGTCACATCCCATCGATGGAGGCAGTGAAGTGAATAGACAATGCTGCTCATGTTGCACACCCATATGTTTGTTGTTCAACTAAATGCCTAAGCTATATGCTGCAATAAATAATCACCACGTGACTACTTGAGCAGATATACAAACACATACTATCCTTAAGTACGTTGCATATGACTACCTGAGCAGATATACAAACACATACTATCCTTATGTACGTTGCATATGACTGCCTGAGCAGATATACAAACACATACTATTCTTATGTACGTTGCATATGACTACCTGAGCAGATATACAAACACATACTATCCTTATGTACGTTGCATATGACTACCTGAGAGAAACACAAGTACATACCATCCTTATGTACGTCTGTCTGAGGTATCCAGCTGTTCAAAGTGATCACAAACGTCACAGGCGTCTCTGCCGTGACATGGGGCGGTAAACCCTTCGCACCGAACGCAAAGTCTGGTTTTGCCACAGATCTCGCTACCCCTCCCTTCAGCATTTGCGGCAGAGTGAGATGGATGGCTTTGGGGACGTCGTCCGTAATCTCTGAGTGATGTTGAGTTGCGAGTGCAAGGCTGAATTGAGTATGTATATGTCGGTTAAGGGGCTTTCGGGGAATGCCACAGATATTACAAAGATCACGAGGGAGGAGAACAACTACTGTAGATTCAACCCATGGTCAGATACTTGATGCACTCTGGCTCAGGCACTCTCATTTTTTTCGATCATAATCAAATACATATACATATACACATACACACACAAACACACATACGTGTATAAATATAAATATAAATGTACATGTTCATG